TTTTTTTTCAAGCTCAATTTGCTCCAAAATATTTTAGCGTACAAATTTGTACGCTAAACCTGACGGTTTAAGGGATACTACTTGACTTAACGTAAAAAATGAATATAAGTATTATCTATCATGTATTAAAAATTCTAAATATGAGTTGTTTTTTCCTTCGATAAAGACATAGTTCAATTGATAAAAATTGTTTCTTTATAAGTTCTTAATAAATTCGTGAATAAATTCCGCTAAAGTCTCTGACTCGATTCTTTAATAAATTGGGTTCTTATGATTTTTAGTTCCGTTTAAATCCCAGCATTTTGTACCACAAACCAACTTATTAACGTTGGTAGGTGAGAAAATTGGCTTCGGTCATTCCCATCACTTCCTCGAAAAAAGAATGCAATAAATATTACTAATTCTCTTCTATTGTCTCTAACAAGAATTTTTTTATTCAGCATACATGTTTTAAATACATTTATTTCAAGTTCAATTTTATTTAAATATCCGATTTTTTTAGTTACTGTAAGCTAGAATCAATTTAATTTTATCTTTTGGATCTCTATTACAAATTCTAAATTTGTAATCACGGACAGTATTTAATTAGACAGTATCGACTTATTCCCCTTGCCGACATCAACAAAATAGGTAGTATGCGAATTACTCTTACATCATGTGTTACCAAACTATGACAGGCCTGACATAATGTGACCTCGCAGATCCGGGTAAATGTTTATTGACAATTGATGCGTAGCTCATTATCATAGGTCATCACGTGTTTGCTATGTATTATTCGCTTAAATAAGTTTCAAATGACCATCATCTGACACAAGAGGCTGAAATCTGATTATACAACTATAATGGGTAAAGTATAATCGGTGATCAACTATTTACTTCAAATTAGGTGAGGCATATTTTAAGAATTTCAAAATTTTCCATATTGTATTAAAATCCTACACCATTTACTGTATTAAATAATAATGCGTGTAAATATTTAGGAAATGCCCTGCAGAACGTATTATAACAATATCGATATTCACAAAGCCCTGTATAATGTTGTCTAATAACAAATTCTCATTCTACCTGTGTTCTTGTATTTGATGAGAAAGTAACGTATCATAATCACTGGTCTTATAGGGATGCAGTCTGGTCTGACCATTTTTGTATACTGTAGAAATGAATAAGGAATGGTAGGTTTCATATATGGTGAATTATTAGTAAACATTTTTTTTAAAAAAAGGTCAATTGTCATTATTTAAATGGGAAGCTTTACCATTTGCTCACATTAATGAAAACCAAATATAGTTCTGTGAATGTGCACCATAAAAAGTCGAGACCACAGTCTCGATCCTACGTAGACTGAAATATTCTTATAATCTCGATGGTCAAGAAGCTGACACTCAAATCTCAAAATTAACTATTATCAAAATCCTGACAATCACGATTATTTGACTGACAATGCCAAAATTGTCGTTCTTCCGAAGTGATCGTCGGATTCTGGATTGTGTCTGATATCGAAGACCGTCTTTAATTATAGTAATGACAAAATATGATTTCTATATATATAAGTCTCTTATCAGTTATAGTTGGTTATCTACACAAGACACTATACAAAAATAATTATTTTTGGAGACTAAAGTCTTATCGTTATCGTTATTGGTATTTTTGTATTGGTCTGACTTTTAATACATATATTAAATTCATAACGATAAGCTTACAGTGCTTTGTGCGTCACTATTTTGGGAATTATTCAATGAAAGTTATTTGGGATCAAACGTTATTTTCAGGGTCTTCACGAGACTTTTCGTACGTTCCCATGCTCTCATGACTGTGGCTGCATAAAAATTTTTCCACAAAACCTTCATTATTCACGAAAACAATGTCATAAATAGTAATTTTGTAACCTCCCCTAGTCATCCTAGTCCTTACAGCATTATTCGTGTGACGCTATCTGCCGTTAACATTTAGGTCATACGTATTATTTAATTACAATACTTATTGTTTTAAAGTTTTTCTGTCTGTTAATTTTGGAAATCGTAAATGAAGCGTGAGAAAAAGAGAAAAAACAATCGGATCACCACGGTTATGCAAAAAATAAAATATCACTGATCATTATACTGTTATATTATTTGACACGAGATTTAGTATTTAAAATGCACATATTTACAGTTTCGTATGTCTTTTAAGATCAGCTGTAGTATAGTATTGTGTTTTGTAAAATGAATGTAAAAGCAAACCCATTTTCTCTTCTTTCTCGCTCTCAAAGTTATTTCCGTTATACTACTAATTTATATCAAGTTCGTTGTTTACAATCCATTGCATTAAGACGTGAAGATAAAAGTCACTGGGAACGTCGGGTGGCTTTAACACCTGATACAGTTTCTAGATTAATAAAAGAAACTGGTGTTAGAATATATGTTCAACCATGCAACAAACGAGTATTTAACGATAATAAATTTAGAAATGTAATAAATTATTCACTATTATTCTTTTAACTTTGATCCGATTCAAGTTTTCTGCTTTCTTCTGATTTCTTCTCGATTGATATGATAATTATATCCTTCTTAGGCCGGAGCAATTGTTCAAGAAGATATTTCAAATGCCGACGTTATTTTGGGAATTAAAGAAGTTCCAGCAGAACATTTGATCCCGAATAAAACTTATATATTTTTTTCGCATACTCATAAAGGCCAATTATATAATATGCCTATGTTACAAGATGTACTTGATAAGGTAGTAACATAAATATATTTGGTGTTGTAAAATGTTTAAACGTTCCTACTTAAATATCTTTGCTATATAGAAAATTAGGTTAATTGATTATGAATTAATGACTGACTCACAAAAACGACGTTTGGTTCTATTTGGAACGCATGCTGGTTATGCTGGTAGGTAAAAAAAAAAAAAAACCAATCATACATGTAATTAGCTTTATTAACGATATTTTTATTCATTTCGAAAATGCGTGATAGGAATGATCGATGGACTTCACGGTTTGGGACGAAGGCTACTAGGCTTGGGCTATAATACTCCGTTTATGGTACATATAATATGTCCAAACATAACATATATAATTTATAAATAACACATATAATATATTTTTATTTGCAGCATATTGCTATGTCTCATACATATAAATCTCTAGACTCGGCAAAATCCACCGTTAAAGATATAGGTGCTACAATTGCTGATGAAGGCCTTCCAAATGATTTTAGTCCTATGACTTTTGTCTTTACTGGAACTGGAAACGTTTCTAATGTAAAAATGAACCTCCTTAAATTTCTAATTTTTTTTTTTCATTGAAGCCCTTGTTTAATCTAACGTATATAATAGGGCGTGCAACAAATATTCAAATGCCTGCCGCATGAATATATTGAAGTAAAAGATTTGAAAGAATGTGTCATGACGCCTCGTACGTGTTTCACGTAACATAACTTATAACACTTTCTGTTATTAATTTGCATATTTTACACTTTAAACAGACAAATTTAGTAACCATAAAGTATACGGTTGTCAAGTGTATCTTCAAGACTATTTAATTCGAACAGATACTGGAAAATTTGACACAAAACGTCATTATTATGAAAACCCCAAAAATTATGAATCATTATTTCATACAAAGGTAGGTTCTTTCTCGTTCAGCCATATGATCTTCATTTTTGCTCACTATAACTCCATCATAGATCGCTCCGTACACGTCGATGCTTATTCATGGTTCCTATTGGGATTCGCGATACCCTCGACTTATTACCAAGGAACAACTTCGCGAGATACAGGAAAATTCTAATAATCGCAGATTGTTGTGCATCGCTGATATAAGCTGCGATATTGAAGTGAGTAATTTAAAAAAAGCTCACTTATTTGTAAAATCTAGTGCAATTAAAAATTTTCTTTCTTTATTAGGGTGCTTTAGAATTTTCCCACTCAACGACCATTGATGATCCATTCTTTTATTTTGATGCTGTCAAAGAAGTGGAACATAAAAAGTAAGCGATATACTTTGTATTATACATACGAAAAAAATATTCGACTTATATATGTATATATATATATATATATTAGAGATGAAGGTGAAGGAACACAAATCATGCCTGTAGACATTCTGCCTACAGAAATTCCTCTTGAAAGTAGTGAGCATTTCAGCAGATCACTCTATCCATTTATGAAAGACTTGGTTTGTTCAAATTATGAATTTATGTTATTCTAAATATTAGTAAAAATATATTAACTTATAAAAAAAAAACTTTTATATAGATCAATGGAACTATTGACAACAGTCCAGTACTCTCTAACGCTACTATCGCAAAGGATGGTCAGCTTATGGGTGTGCACACTAAATTATATGAATTTTTACTAAGAAATAATATATCTCAAATTCAAGAAATGGAAATTACTTCATCTTTTTCCAATAAGCCGGTAATCTCGACCCACGAACCATTAATAGGAAATTCTAATATATCAATTTAATTTTAATTTTAATTTATATACGTACGTTTAGAGGTTGGAACCGATTTTATTTTTGTAATTCGGTTTTAATCGCCTCCATAGAATAGGGTTGATTCGGTTTTTTAGTTTTAATAAATTCGCTAAACCGAATCAACCCGGATTTTTGTTGATTCGAAAATCGCGTTTACAATATAAATAAACATAAATATTCACTATATATGCAAGAATCATTACTTTATCTTAAAATTGAGCTTTTATTTATTTATTAAATTACAAATTCTTACCAATCTGCTAAAATGACAGAAATTTGCTGATCTATATAATTCATTTTTGTAAGAATCTTAGAACTAAAGATATTAATTGTTGCTGTTGAAGATATAGATTCTAGCACTGCAAACACCCTGAACTCCTGGTTAGTGCCTAGCCCTTTAGTAAAAAAAAAAAAAAGAATGAACAAATGGTAAAATGATATTAAAGTAAATAAAATTTTTTGCACCATGCGGGAATTGTATCTTCACGCTGGCCAAGTGCATCTGGACTTCTAAACATGTAGACTAAATTTAATCCGTAAATGTCAACTGCGCCATTTGCCACGAGTTGAGTAATTAGAGCGGCCTTCGTCTGACCGGCTATTCTGGTACGACAGCCCGGAGCCATTGGTACATCATTAAATCCTCTATCATCCCATTTAATTACTAATGTCGAATCAGACTCTCTAAACAATGCGGGCAGTTTCTTCATTTTGAAGAATCTCTGGAAGGGATGAAGGCGCTAAACACATGGATCAGTTGATAATTCTTACTAATTTTCACAATATTATTAAATACTTGTTTCGCAATTTTGAGCAAGGTTTTCGACTTTAGTTTTAAATGCTGTTATAAAGGTGGTTACTATTTCGCGAAAAAAATATCAAAGAAGAATATCCTCTCGATCTGTGCAACTGGTAATCGCGTTGTTCCTACTTTGTATAAAATAATTAATAAAAGAGATTAGTAAAATAGAAATGAATACCTTTATGGATATATTTAAGAAAACATGACATACGTATTTCATGTGAGAATTTTAAAAAACGCTGTAAATGTTAATAACAATTGAGAATATAGAATTTTCTAAATTAAAAACAAGTTGCCTATTTTTTAAAGAGCTTTATTAATTCACATTCGACCATCCGGGTTTTTCCTAACATGACAAAAATTAATGATGAGCTGGTTTTATTAAACCCGATTTTCGAATCAGAAAAACCAGACCGGTTTTATATTAAAGTCGGTTGAACCGGGGTTAAATTCGGGTTGCGCAAACCAGTTCTTCCAACCTCTACGTACGTTTGTACTTTTACATATATTGTATATATCTCTATTTTACTGGAGAATTTTATTTATAATGCCAAAAAAGAAATTTTGGCGTGTAAGGAATAATATTATAATCTAATGTATTGTTTTCGTGTAACAATGTGAGCTTAAGTCTCTCAAAATAACCAGTTTTTTATAAAATAAGTAGGTTAAAAAATAAAGTTTTGCCGATTAAATTTAATCAGAGATACGTACGCGGGAGAATTTTGAGACTACGTACGTATGTAGGTTTTTTTTTGGAATGGGAAAATTTCCCAATATAATATTTACATTGCTATTTTATAAGACCTGTGAACAAAAGAATTATTCTTTATTGTCGTTACTATATGTAACTTTATTTATATATTTAGATAACTTTATACGTACTGTATAATAAATTACAAGAAAATATACACTTTTTTAAAAGATTAATTTTATCAAACACGCAGTAAGAATTTTTACGGTCTATATATGTCTTACTAAAAATATGTACTATATAGTAATGAATAAATATTGAAACCATTATACAATTATATCGAATATATAACATTTATATACTACGTAAATACTGGAAATAAATTACCTTTTCAAAGTGTAAAATAATGTAACGGTTAAGTACTTGAGACCGTATTCTCTTTATAGGCTTGTGTCAGGCGAATTCATACTAGTTATTATCAAAACCAATTTTTATTCGTATATAAAATATAATACTATATGTTACTGAATTTTTTAGATATCAAAAAGATGAAGTTGTATTAATAAACCATAATACTTTCTGTTAGTTATTATATACCGTATTTATCCGTTACGAGTACTCGGGATATTTCCCTTGTTCGTTTTAGTACCCGAGGTGTTCGTGTAGAAGGAGTATACCGTATGAATAATAATATTACACACCGAAGTGCTTAAATATGATATTACCATACTTAAGTACCGGGTATAAATCAAGGTTTCAAAAATCTTTGCAGGGTACAATGCACGGGCGCTCTACGTGTATACTTGCTGGCAATTTCCAAAAAACAATTGCTATTTATAAAAGATTAAATAAAATAAGTAATCTTAATATTTGTCAAAATATTTCTATAGAATATATACTATTTTGTTTAAGCAAAGATTATTAATAAAGTCTTTGAAATATTAATTTGGGATTTGGGTGGCAAGTATATCTACATGGCGGGTAAATACGATATTTGAAAATTTTAGTACAGTATAAATTATAACTTTATTCACGAATTAAATAACCAAAAATTAAATTACAATCTATAAAAGTAGATTTAGGTACCAGATTCTAGCAATTGCGACCCGCGAATACGAGTCCAATAAATCTATTGTATTTATAGGATGAAAAAGAGGGTCAGCTCTATGTTAGCACCTTAAAGAAATAAGGTAAATTTACCCTACTCAATAACACTACAATAATACAGTAACATATTTTAGATTAAAAACTTAACTGGTCGGCTTTTATTACTAATATTCAATTTATTTTTAATAAATCAACTGTTTTAACATATTAATTATATCTAATATACTTTCTATACAAGCTATTAAAAATTCTTTCTAAATACATATTATCCATAATTATCGTTACCATTTTTCTAAGTTAAATCCACTTTCTAAATATGATATACCTCAAATAATCGAGTCTTAGAAATACTTAAAGTTTCTTTAGCGAAGAGTATTCGTAACTTTTTGAAAATGATTTTACTATGATGGATTTCTAAACTGAATAAAAGTACCTATACCTAAGCGTTATCCCATGGATAGACGTAAATTAGCCAATCATACATGATCGTAATTTCAGGTGATGTATTAGTATTACATATGTTCATAATTTTTCATTGATCTACATCAAAAAACTTTTTCCCATTGATCTCTAAAGGATAGTTATAATTTCATTTAAAACTATTCAACGAATTTTGTAAATTGAAAAATATGAACGATAATATTACAACTTATAATAGTACACGAACAGGTTTTGTTTCCTTCTAATTTTTCAAATATTAAAGACCACGCCCTAAAAAATTTCTTGTTAAAAATAAAAAAAATTATTCGAACCATTTTTCTGCCGAATGAAGTGGCTTATACTGATTTACAGCATGATCTACAAGCCACTTCTTTTAGTGGGCAAAACTTTTAACCTTTTTCAAATAAAAAAAGAATCCATCATTATTAAAATTGTTAGATAATTGTTTATTTGAATTATATATTAATATTTTATTAGGCACTTCGGTGACGTTAAATTCTCGAGTCCCCTCTTCTCAAAGATCAAATAATACTGATGTTATTAGGATTGATTTGAAAAAAATTGACATTCGGCCTACTGGGGCACAACTTACTACTTATACAGATCTTAAACTTGCTGTATGGTTTCGATTAAATACTCGTGACATCTGTTTGTGTTTGAATGAAATGAAGGATAAAGTTGCTATCCCTCTTAATCAGGTAATAACGGAATAAAAATTATGTCCTAATTTAAAAAGATACTAGATGCTAATGTTTCTCTTTTTTTTTTTGTTTTAGATGGTTGGTTTCAGAGTTGCAGAGTACAAAGAAATTGAAGTACAACTTTTAAATAATTTCAAAAGATCGGTGAGGTGTTATCTGATTTCATTATATTATAACACCTCTCTATTTTACTGATCTCATGCATTATATTACACATAATTTTTAAAGTATTATCATAATAATATTGAAGTAAAAGGCGATCCAACCAATGGTTTATTAGAGGGTGCAACTTCGTTAACTTTCACAACTCTTCCATCCGTTATGCTAAACACATTGGTAGCGGTGGAATCTGCAATTATAAAATATAAAACTGAATGCCAAAATAATTCTCTGATCAATAATTCTCAGGTCAACAATTCTCAGGTATATATTTTAAGAATATTTCTCTATGGCGCTAGCTTATATCTATTTTTTTATAGGATCATCAAAAAAAATTGTAGATGAAGGATGAAACATTTAATCTTTTGGTCTTTGTTAATCCATTTACATCAGATGTATGTGACTTGGGTTCTATTTGTTGAACGAGGTGCTGTGGTCGTACCATGCGACATTTCTCTCAGTACTTTACTAAACCATATCGGAAATAAGTTTAATCTTCAATTGAACAGTGAGCGCATTTCATATAAAAATGGGGTTGGAGAAATGATAGCGCTGAGAGATGAAGAAGATTGGAAGGTTGTAAGTAAACGTTAAATTCTCGTTTTTTTTTTGCGTTCTTAATGATAGACAATCTGTATTTACTCTCTCAATTCTGCATAAGGCAAAATGGGAAGCGAAATATGAGAAAAGGCCTGGTGTAGAAGTACATTTGGCGTAAATTATAATATAGGTAATTGTTACAAATGTGTGAGAGACTTACAAAGCTTCACCAACATAGCTTGTTGAACAGACAGTCTCATTCATTTAAGAGATCGTTTATTTCATCAAATTCTGTTTTGATTGGACATTTTTGAATACAAGGCTTGATTAAATAACAATAAATTGGTTGTTTTCGTAAGATTTTAGATAGCTACTTATTAATTAGACTACATTATGAAACAATTAAACAATGAATTTATCTTTTCATAAGTTAAACTTTATACTTACAAACAATCATAGTAGAAATAAATCAGAGTTGACATGAACTGGTCAACAGTCAATCTTGACCTGATCAATTTGATCGGTCTAGCCTAAGAGTTTTGCGCTGGTCAAAGTTGTCAAACTATATATATATATTTATTCATATAACAAAATATATATTTAATTAACAGAACAGACTATTTGATCAATAATTGAAATAAATGTTGTCAAATACTTATAGCAAATATTTTAATACAGTATAATCAATTAATGCGAAATATTATTTGAGGCTGTATTCAATGAATGCAGTGTTTTTGAAACAAGTATACAAGTATCAGAAATTTGCTTATTATCACAAATAAAAAAAAACAATTATAGCACGTAGGTAAATAGAGCAAGACCTGAATATAGTTATTCTTAAGCATCAATTTTACAAATAAAATTAATTTTTTAAATTGCTATATTATATTTTGATGTCTTTTTTTTTTTTTACATAAAAATTTAATATTACACCAAATCGCTTGAGTAATTACATAAAAATTAAGTTTTAGCTTCTTAAAGTTTAATTTTAAATTTCAAATTTTTTAAAATATTTAATCAATAAAAAATACAGTATAAAAGATTGTATTAGACAATTGTTAAAATTATAATAATTTAAAATCAAAAAAAGTAAATTATAAATAATGACTATATATGAGAATAATTTATATTTTAAAAATCTAAATATCAATACAAAATAAGCAAATTAATTTTTTTTTAATTATAAATACTATAAGTTTAATATAGTACTTACCAAGAATTTCGATGCTCGATGAGTCTATTAATAAATTTAATGAATTTGCTAGCATAAGTATAATTAGTTTTATTAATAAATAAATAAATAATATAGTGAAGTTTTTAAAATAAATACCTTTAATTATATCAAGTATTATATGAGAGCTGTTAAGTTGATGAAATAATTGGAAATAATTTGACTATTTTATCTGCTTCTAAGAATTGCTTTTTAATTTCGTTTGCATCATCTAAATCTTCTATGCTTTTATTCCACTCTTCAAGTTTTTCACAAATATCCCAAGCATCAGGCCGTTTTTTTGGATCAGAACCCATGCATTGTTTAGCCAATTCTATGTAACAATCTGGAGTTCCAGGAGCAAATTCAGGTCGCAATCCTTCAAATAAAATCCTTATTTGAAGTGCGGCATCATATTGATAACCATCAAAAGCTCTTTGTCCAGTTGACATCTCTGACATGATAACTCCAAAGCTATAAATATCAGCAGCTTGTGTAAAATTTTGACCTTCAAAAACTTCCGGAGCGATATAAGGTAAAACTCCATAAATAATACCTTTTGAATCATCAATGTTTATAGATAATCCCAGATCCGAGATACAAGATTTTATACTTTTACTAATACCTTCATACTGCAAAACATTACCACTGCGAAAGTCTCTGTGACTATATCCTGCGTGATGGATATGACGTAAGTCATCTGAAATATCCAGTAGTAGTTTTAATTTAATATACCAGGTAAGATCTTTAAAAATTTTTCTTAAAAACTCATGAAGATTTCCGTTATCTGCATATTGTAATACCATAAAGTATTCATTTGTTTTTGTGTTTTGAGTCAATCCATATATTTTAAGCTTACCACCCACCAATCTACATTTTACATAATTTTCAAACTTCAAAATTTACAAATATGAATTAATTCATATATATATATATATTTAATAAACTGCATTAGGAAGTTGCGGCTGAAACTGGAAATTAGAAATCTTAATTTAAAATATAACCTTACTAAGATCCATTTATATCTAAATCCTAACCTATCTATTAAAAAAATACTAAAATAAATGCAACCAAAAAGTTTTGAAAATTTCATATTAAAATATTAATTTCCAGCTTCAGCCGTGACAATTATTTAACTTACTTCTTTCAAAAAATCATAAGGATTTTCTTTAACAGCAGGAAAAGTCTTGAGCGCAACGGTTCTGGATGATTTACGTGATCTCATATATTTTTTACCATAAAAAATTTTTTGTATGCCTTGTTTAACATCAATTTTTCGTGTACCATCCAACCAGGTTGCAGAAAACACAATGCTAAAATTCCCCATACCAATTTTTCTAATATATTCTAGTCTATCAAATGGAATCCATTCAATCATGTGTTCATATGTATTAGCTCTAAGCTGAAACCCTTTTATACAATTATCAATATCTTTATTTCCACTTGTCCATCCATGAATTGTTATGTCAGGATCACATGTCTGACACCATGCTTTACTCGTGTTATATTTATTACAATGCGTACATTTTCCATAATCAGAATCTCTAGATTGTATTCACATTAGTTATTTCACTTTCTTTGTGATCTTAAATTTAAGTACAACATAATTTTTATGCTTACCGACTAATTGATGAAATTAAATAGTAAATATTCATGAATTTCAATAGCTTATTTAAATATTTATATTAATAAATGTTCTTTATACTCACTTCCTAAATTAATGAACAAAATTAAATAGTATATATTACGGATTTAAATTCTTATTAATAAATGTTCTTTATACTTACGGACTAAATAAAACGAAGTTACATTATTCATAATTGGAATAGTTAATTTTAAATACATAGATCAAATGTTCTTTATACTCACAATCTAATATACAATTAAATAGTAAATATTTATGAACTTTGAATAACTTACTCAAATACCTAATAATAACCGTCTTTATACTCACAATCTAAATAAATTGAATAATAAATATTTGTGAACTTAAATAAATTATATTAAATACTTAAATAAATGTTCTTTATACTCACCTCCTAAATTAACGTGAATAAAAAAGTAAATATTCATAAAATTGAATGGCCTGTAAATACTTAAATTAATCAATGTTCTTTATACTTACTGACTAAATTAACGTAAATAAACCGAATTTAAATAATGAATGTATATGAGTCAAATGGCTTATTTAAAATATTTATGCTAATAAATATTATACAGTATCACAATTGACTTGGCTGATATTAAAATTTGAACCTATTTAATATGAAATCTTGACTAAGATTTTAAGTGGATTTTAACAAGATTCTCAAATTTTAACATCAGCCAATTTCAGTATCAGCCACAACAATAGATGTTTTTTTACACTTACAAACTAAGTTATCAAAATGAAATAAATTTAATTATTCATAATTTGAAGCTAATTTTAACATTTTGAATTAATATGTTTTTAATACTTACCGACTAAATTAACGCGAATAAATGAAATTAATTATTTATAAATTCGAAAGCTTATTTAAATATTTAAATTATTACATATTCCTATACTCACAGGCTAAATTAATATCGATAATTAAAAAAATATAGTAAAAATAATAAATTTGTATAGTTTATTTTAAAATTTTAAACAATAAATGTTCTTTATACTCACTGACTAAATTTGCGCGAATAAAATAATAAATCTGAATAAACTTGGATAGCTTATTTTATAGCACAGATTAATAAATGTTATTTGTATGACTAAATTAACATGAATAAAATGAAATTAAAAAGTGAATTTTAGTTTATTTTATTTACATGATCACAACAATCTCAAATTAAAACTCAGTTAGCCAATAATGACTTGTAAGCATGATTATAATTGCACGATAACATCGATTTATTGGTTAACTGCATAAAATCAAAATGCTTAGAAGTAGAAAGGCTGGCAAAATTAATTTCATCAACTCAACATCAATTTTACCAATAATGTTGAAATGAGTTTTTATTTCACCAGCATTTTTATCTAATTTACTTTAAACACATCCAACAACCCAATTAAAATAAGCTTTTTTTTTATTCCGTAGAGAACGCTAAGCTTTATAAAATAAAATAGTTTGTTTGAATTGGATCATTGGATTGCTAACAAATTTAAGTCTTGAGTAATTTTCCTAGCGAAGGCTCATATACTAGGGTTAATAAATGTTTTTTATACTCACCGACTAAATTAATGCGAATGAAATTAATATTCACGAATGTGAATAGCTTATTTTAAACACTTAAACTAAAAAAGGTTCTTTGTACTCACATTCTAAACCGAAATTAATAGTAAATACCCATGAAATTGGATATCTTATTCAATATTTAGATTAATAAATGTTCTTTATACTCACTCACTAAATTAACACAAATAAATGCAATTAAATAGTAAATACCCATGAAATTGGATATCTTATTCGATTAATAATAAATGTTCTTTATACTCACTCACTAAATTAACACAATAAATGCAATTAAATCGTAAATATTCATGAACTGAATAGCTTATTTACATATTAATAATGTTCACTATACTCACTCTCTAAATTAACGCGAGTATATGAAATTAAATAGTAAGATTCACGAGCTTGAGTAAATACTTAAATCAATAAAGATTATTAATACTTACCTCCTAAATTAACGTAAATAAATAAATTAATTAAAATTAAATGTCTATGAGCTTGAAATAACTTATTTTAAAATACTTAGAGTAATATACTAACACACTGAATTAATGTGAATAAATGAAATTGAATAGTAAATATTCATGAATAGATTATTTAAATACTGTACTTAAATTAATAAATGTTCTTATACTCACATTCTAAATGAAATTGAATAGTAGATATTCATGAACATGAATACTTATTTTAATACTTAGATTAATAAATGTCTTTATATTTACCGACTAAATTAACGTAAATATTTGTGAACATGAATAGCTTATTTAA